GGGTAGGCGAATGGGCGAGGCCATTCAGCCATCGAGCCAGCCACGCAGACTGCCGAACGGGCGGGCAGCGCGTCTGTTACACTGTTACGAGCGACGTACGTACGGCCATTGACGGCGCGTCCCGTCTCGACTCGCCTCGACGTTTGGCTACAGGTGAGGGGCCAACCAGCTGAACCGGCTACCAGATCCATCTTAGAATAACCGGTCGATAGAAGGGAAAATCGAACCTACAGCCGACTCGGGAACAGTACGACGCGTGGTGGAATCTGCCGGAGATTTCCCACCTCGATGGACCGAATTATATTTTCACCGATTCATCAATCCGCCTAGTTTGTTGAGAACAGTCTCTCCTTCGAATGTTCTCCGAGATGAGAAGTTATGTCGCACAGAAAAAATTCATTTGTTCGGCGGATGGTCGACTTTCGGAACCGGAGTTTTCGAAGAGACTACGTGAGAAGCTCTACGCGCCTCGGACGACGGAATGACCGAGCGATTCCTCTTCTCTCCTAGCAAGCCTCTGCCGTCTTCAAGCTCGAATTCGGAGAAAAGCATTTGACTTCTCTGCAGAAGAAAGAAGCAACGAACTGAAGAAACGAGTGGATGAATGAATGAAACAACAAGACGGCTTCCGGCCTCTCTGCCTCCGTAGTACTACGTTCATTCAGCGGCTCGAACCCATTGAGACAGGCGGGCAGTCTTGCTGAGCTGACTGGATGCTTGGCTAGCTGCGTGGCTGGCTGACTGCCTGCCTGACTGACTGCTCCTTCGTTCTGTGAATGGGAGAGTACATTGGCTGGCCGGCCGAACGGCTCGTTGGTGTGAGGTAGGAGTGGCCTCGCAGCGGGCAATGGGCCCGACTGACTGAATGGATGGCGGTCCGGCCCGCTCTATTGCCTTGTACCAACTATGAAACCTGCTCGACGAGTAACCGTTCACCTAAATTTAAAGCAGAAGAGAAAGACTTCCAGCAGCGGCCGGGCCCTCAAGATGGAAACCGATTCTCTCCAATTTCGAAAAAAACACCGAATACGCAATGGAGACTCCCATCGGCTCGGAACATTCTCCAGTCGATGCACGCTTTTGGAGACCTCAGATCCCTTGAGGCATGCCCGAAGTCCCGGGAAACGCGTTCTCCAGCATGTCTCCCGAGAATCAAACCCCATACCGACCGTGATATTGTTTGAGAATGGAGCTCGCATGAGATTCGGTGTTGGAGCTGTTCCCGGGAGGTACTCCATTCTCTAAATGGGTGACTCTTCTCGAAGCTCATCGAGCGTGCGGGTCCAAGTCCTCTCGATGGAGCTTGGAAATTCGCCTCGTAAATGGAATAGATTCCGCGGAGGGGGTCTACTGGGCGTGGGGCGGCGCCTGAGAGAAGTGGGTTGAATCCTCTCGGTCAGACAGGAAAATGAACGCGTTCCGAGGAAGGCGAGTTTTCGTTTGCGGGGAAAACCTTGAGATGTCAAAGATGCCCGCGGCACATGACTCCGTGCACTGATCCTGATCAGAGCTGTGCGCTGCGTGGCGAGATCGCCGGCGCGCCGGCGCGCCGAGTGTGCAAGTCCGCCGCCAGCCGCCACCGAATCTCCACGGCGCGGCGGCGGCGAAAACGCCGGCGGCGCGCCGTCGAATTCGGTAGTCAATACTGTGCATGATGCTGCTAAGGCGGCGGCAGAATGAGAGATTTCGACTCTAATTTCGACCTGAACGGAGGTTTTCAATCGCAGGAAATTTGTTGCGAGAAAAACGGTGTACTTTGGATCCAATAACGATGACGAAGACTCTTTTCATTCACGACAGCAAAAGTTTCTTGCCGCGTATATGACACATAGTTCCGATGTTAAGTTAAGGCATGCCCTTCCCTACATTGTTATTGGGATGGAAAATAAATTGTAAAAAATCGTCTCTCCTATATTATTCACAGTGGCTATCTCCTGCGCCGCGGTGCGCCGCTGTAACGCCGCGGCGTGCCGGCGCGCCGGGTATTTCTCCCCCGCCGCCGCCGTCAACTCTGGTCGCGGCGCACAGCTCTGATCCTGATTCATCATAGGGATTCTAAGTGACAAAGCTGCGTAGGAATGAGGATACCCTATCGCAACCGTGATGATTTTCGAAGACAGTGAAAGACCATGCTCGAGCTCGAGAATTCGCCATCGATTCTTTGGAATGAATTCCTGGAATGAATTCCTTGGATACTCGTGAAGATATCGGGGTCTGTTCCTTTCTGAATTCCAAAGAGACGGAACTCGATCGATATTCGCCTCTTCCCAGATATTTGCATCCTCCCGATATTTGCATGCATGCATATATGTTATATCGAGAAAATGGATCGTACGAAGGTCTGGATCGCTCCAGTATTGTATTCTTGCCCTGGACATATCCACTGCCGGTTCGATGCCGAACACTGGAGCTCCCCGTTCCGTGCGTACTGCGCATGACGGGAGACGTAAGGGGGAGACGACCGTCTCAGCTCGCTCGAGAGGCAGGAAGTTGTGCGTTGATTACGGTTCTCCAGCTTCGAAATGCCGAGAAGGATCGTTGCTCCTCGGGAGAAGACTGTTCCTTCCCGAAGGAGAATCCCTCCTTCTCGCGGAGGATCGAACCTTTTTAGGGAAAGATTGTCCCGTCTCGAGAGAAGATCGTTCTTCCCTGGCGGAGAGTCGTTCCTCCTCCGGGAGGCATTGTTCCTTCTTGAGGAGGCACTGCTGCTTTCCAGGGCAGGGTTGTTCCCCCCCCGGATAGGATTGCTCCTACACAGGGCAACGATGTTCCCTCACAAAGGGAACTTGTTCCTTCACGGAGGGAGGCTCGCTCCCCTCCGGTGAACCATCGATCCCACCCGGGGAAGGATCATTTCTTCTCGGGGAAGGATGGCTCCCTCTCGGGAGAGGATCGGTCCTTCTCGAGGATAATCGTTCTTCTCGGGGAAGGATCGTTCTTTCGGTGAAATAGGAGGAGCTCATCCGGAAGCCGCTGGGATTTCTCGAGCTGAGGACATTCCGGCTGTGGATAGGATCGTAGGGAGTGGGCTCAAGACAGCCGCATGCATTCAAACTCATCAGTCCAGTCGTAGGCACGTCATACGCTGACCTTGGAACAAGGCCAGAGGGGTTGGAAGCGCGGAGACTCTCGTCTCCACGAAGCATGATTCACTGACCAGGACAACGAAAACTTCCGGAAGAGATAATTATTTTTGCAGACGACTCGAAATTCAGCCGCGATGACCGTTCCGCGGGAGTGGTGGGAAGACGGAGCTATCCTCCTCAGCCCCGTCAACGGGAAAAAGAATCGAGCGAATTGAAAAGCATGTCCACCTGAAATGAATTCAATTCGGTCCCACTAAGAGGGGCGGAGCTAGCAAAATAGCTACCGCTCAATATTCATTTCGATCCGCGCTTTGTTTCCCAGGTCGTTCAGAGACCGAGGAAGTTCACTTCGGTATTGTAATACTCGACTTTCCGATTGATTCCTCGAGCGCCGCTTCTGGTACCTGTACCCATAAATTTACGAACGGTCCCATGATGATATAGAGACGAACGCTGACGTTCGACCTTGCCATCATAAGTACGCACGCAGCGTGAGTCTTCTGTACGCGGGGAAAGGCCCAGGATCGATCCCTTCTTGCGCATGACCTATTGAGGAGACGAGCTCACGAGGGAGTACGAAGTGAAGGGGGAAACCCGAATTCAGCTCGGGACAAACCTAGAGGGCTGCCGAAAGCATAGAGATTCACGCATCCTTACCGGATTCGACTACTAGATTGGAGCGGAGAAGATCTCGCTTACTGTAAGCGAGTGTTGCTTGGAGCGGAAAAAGGTTGTTGAGTGTTGACGAGACCGCTTCTTAGCTGTGCGGGAGCGCTCCATGAGTTCGAAAGAAGTGGATGTCGTCCTGGGGATTGATCATGGTCCTCGAGTTTTCATGGAATTGCGCCGATGCGGCTCGCAATCAGCTTCGGAAGTCGAGCAGCAGGGGCGCATTTGCAACAAGGCGAGGGCTGTACAGTCCAAGGAAACCATACCCTGCGATTTCCAATAGGCAGCACCATGGAATCCCAATGAGTGTCCAATCCCAGTCACCAGGAAGCTGATTGGCGAACTCAAGAGTGATCCGAAAGTAACGACTCGGAGATGGAAGGAAACTCACACCGCAGGGTCAACGTCGGAACGACAAGAGGAATGTCGCCTCGGAGAATTTTCTGGTGAGGCCGGAGTTCAGTCTCGAGGGGGAGCACGAGCGGCCAACCCTCCCATGATCCCCCACCCGGAGCAGCTACGTTCTATCTGCTTCCATAGACCTCGCAGCTATCCAGGAGTCATTTTGCACTTCTTCTCTCAAGACATCCTCCCTCTCTCACGCAGTCTCCCTGCCATGGCGCTGTGATGCTTTCGAGACCTTTCTCCTTCTCGGGAAAAACGTTGGTCAAACCCTCTGATCGCCTGCTTGATTGCCTACCTCGAACCCGCATCGGAGGATCTTGATCCCAGATCCCAGATCAGCGCAGCTGGATAACCTCGCGACAAGCAGCTCCCGTGTCCGATTCGAACGGGTGGAGCCTTAGGTCGGAGAAGATTCCGAGGCCGCCACGAGGAATCTGGAGAGGCGACGACTAAGCAAGTGGTTAAGTTCATGATTGCGATTTAATTTTCAGTGCGTACCTATATCATAGTTTCCACGATCAATGCATTACACCGGACAACTTGAGCCGAAAATCGATTCTGCTCGACTTCGGAGATCGGGCTGCCGATTCGGATCCTTCGATCTTCTGAGCACGGAATCTGCATGGTTCTCCGGACGAACTGGTTCCCCGAAATCTCGTGAAAGCTCGCCAAGTACCAGGGAGGCGCGAGGGGTTACAATTCTCGATCATTCCGGCTCGTCACGTCTGAACTCGACGGAGCTGGTAGGCCTCGGTGACGGAACGCGCCTTAATGTTTTCGAGCAGACGACAAAAGCGACGAGCCATCAGAAGCAGAGCAGGCAACAACGGCTTCAACCGTAGTGACCGGCGGCGCGTCCGTGTGGCGGGAGTTGGTTGTTCTGTTGCATCTAGTTCCGTGAGATGCGGTGTTCAACCCGGAGTGAGAAACTTCCTTACTTTGCTGTAACGTACGGGAGCTTTCGCGTAGCAACTTAAAACGTCACGTTTGAGGTGAGGACTTGAGGCATCTGTGGCCTTTGAGGTTGACTTTCAGTTGCGTGTGACGCCCAGACGCCATTGTTTTAAGCGACGCTTTCACGAGCAAGCCGTTAGCCCTTTAACACCTGAGACCTCTTCCGTGCGGCTGTGAATACGACCGTGGTTTCTAGGAATCATTCGATTATTGTGTGGATCCCCGATTCCTCTCAGTCCGGCCGGAATCGGTCCGCTGAGATCTCGGGTAACTTCGAACATTCATCAGATCAGCTGGTTTTGACCTCGAACACGTTTGAACTAAATTTGGGAACGACGACGATTCGTCGGTGTCGTTGCCGGATCCGCGGCTGGGAAATCTGCTACCGCTGGCAGCCCCATGTCGGTTCTGGGCGGTATCAGGAAGTTCCCCCAAAGGTGAATGATGGAACTCAAACGGTGTATCCGAAGGTAATCTGCTGGCATCTGCATCGTGAAAGCTCGCCATTTAGGGACCCCGATTGTTAGCATCGACGATTTCTCATGGAATATCTATTCGAGGTGTCCGTGTCAGATGACTAAGCTCTGTCCCCCGTCTCGCTTCATGTCCATTGGAGCTCTTAGTCGGGGTCGTCGTGTCACTACGAATCGACCGAAATTTACCAGTCACTGGACAGTTGAGCTCCAAAGGCGTGTCAGAAGTCGCTGGCCGGTCGTCGAGACTTGCCGAGTCAAAGGGAAGTCTGTGAGCCGCCGGCGTGCAGGCCTTCGGAACTTTTGAAACGACAGGCGAACTCGGCACACATGATAATGCAGCTATGCCTCCCATATCGACGGGTCCGATTGCCTATTCGAACATCCGCACGGCGCGTGTTCCAAGAGACGTTGTCTTTAGGTGAGTCAGGTATCCAATACGTTTTTTTTTCTCGCAGATGTGGCGGTTACAGCTACTGAACAGCTGAGACATCCTGAGGACTCAGCCCAAATCGGTTGAGAAACTACTTTAATCCGAGCATGAATCGGGCCGTGGCGTTGCACGTTTCGGGCGTCGTCGTCACGGACGTCCGAGGCACAAAATGGAAAGTCGGCAACCACATTGGCACGGGGGGTTTCGGTTCCATTTTCATGGCTTGCGAAGCCACTCGGTCCGATCGAGGCTCTGTTCCTGAGGATACTAGGATGGCGATCAAAGTCGAACCCCACGATAACGGTAGCTTATTCACGGAAATGCATTTCTACCATCGGTGTGCCAAAATCGACAAGAGTAAGTTTTATCCGTCATACTCACCAGATGAATTCTCGGTTGAATTCTTCCATGATTTTGGTGAGAGCACTTGGGGTGAAGAATCAACTCGATCAGTGATTGGAATAAATTTCAGTGGAAGAATGGCAACGGCAAAGAGGACTGGACTATGTTGGTATGCCTCGGCTGCACGGATCTGGCTCGTTCGTTCATCGGCGGCAAAAGTACCGTTTCATCGTTATCGATCGATTCGGAACGGATCTACAGGTAGGTGATCCTGTTTTCGAGGAGAACCTAGCGCGGATTGGGAGGCTTGGTTCGCGGGTCGAAGTTTGAGGCTGAATGAACAATGGAAACTTCTCGAAGATGTCTCACGGATGATTCTTCCAGACAATTCTGAGCCTCAACGATGGGAAAATGCCGCTCAAAACCGCTCTGACTGTTGCAATACGCGTCACCGACATACTCGAGTATATCCACTTCCATGGCTATGTACATAAAGACGTCAAGGCGCAAAACCTCCTCCTAGGCTTCGATGATCCGAACAAAATATACCTCGTCGACTTTGGCCTCGCATGCCGGTGAGATATTGATATTCTCCTGGAAGTCGTCACCAACTTGCTTCCGATTCTCTCGTCGCTGCAGAAAAAAACACCACGCTTGAGTCCCATGCGGAAGCGATGATAGCCCGTCGAAAAAATGATTTTGAATAACGATCGGGTCCATCACGCCTTATCGTGCCTTCCAGATATTTTGTATACGAATCCGGCTACGAGGTGCACAAGGAATTCCGCGAAGATCTCCGCCGTGCTCACGATGGTACCATAGAATTCACTTCAAGAGACGGTCACATGGGAGCTCTTTCCAGACGGAGTGATCTCGAGGTACGGATGGCACTTCTCATTGCGTTACTCCGGTGCGATGCGGAGCTCTACCTCATGATTTCGAGGTACGGGGTGTCCTTATGCGAAGTCGGCTCATGGAAGATCGTCTGCTTATTCCAGGTGTTGTTATATAATCTTTTGTTCTGGATATCTGGAAAATTGCCCTGGTCGTCGAATAGGGAGGAAGCTGATCAGATAGCACGTCAAAAAGATATCTACATGCGAGATCCCCAGACTCTGATGATGGCCTGTTTCGGGCGGAAGGGTTCTCCCCCCTACATTCTTGAATTCGCTACTTACGTAGCCCGACTAGAATTCCATGATAAGCCGAACTACGAACTGTGCCGCGAAATGTTCAAACAGGTGAGCGCTTCTTGCGAATTCTCGGTCTCATTTTCGCTTCTTCGGGTCCGAGCTCACGAGAGACAATTTTCAGTTCATACGGACTCTAAAAGTTTCCTCCGACAGGCTATATTGAAAAGCGAGTTCAGGCACGACATGCAGCTACAGTTCGAAGGTGGTGTGCATCGTGTCCAAGTCAAACGGAGATGTCGTCGAAGTTATCACATAGAGAAAGAAAAACGCCTGAAAGTAGAGCAAGAACTCAACCGGGTAAGTCGAGCGATTCCAATCCGCTATGACAATGGGCGAGCAGAAGTCGATGGTTTCTCACTGTCCGGCCTCTTTTCTAGATTTCGTTATCCGGATCCTCAAACGGTTCAGTTCATACGAGGCTACGCCGGAGAGCCAATATGAATGAAACCAACGGTCACAACACGAACACAGACGATGACGATGACTCGTCGACGAGTGACAGACCATCGTCAGTTCGCCGGAGTTGCTTCGATTCTCGTCAAAGCTCAGGACGACGGACGGGTACGCATAGTGACGTCGAGGTGAAGGAAGAAGGTGGGGGAATAGTTATAACGGTTGACCGAGAAACTAAAGAAAGTCGAGCCATATCACTTGAAGAGCTGTTAGCAGCCAATAGAGCTCAGAGAGCCGAAAGAGAGCGTCGAGCGCGGATTGCCGTGGTCGAGTTGGAGCGGGAAAGCGGTGATATATCCTCTGAGACGAAAACAGAAATCAGTCAACGCTCCGGCATGAGCAGAAAGAACAAAAAAAAACTGAAGCTCAAACTCTGAAGAAGAAACCCTCGGTCGCGCAGCGGAAGCTCAAACGGGTGGTTGGACAATTATCTTTGAGGAGTCGTCGAGTTCCCCTGGTCGAAGTCAATAATGCAAAGTGAAGAGTAATTACGCCGGTCAGCCACACAACACTCGTTTGGAGCGGTTGCTGCAACAAACTCCTTCATAGAGGCGCGTTCTTTTCCACCATGGATTTTTAACGTTTTTTGAGAGCCAGTCATTCGAAATCGGGCGCTTTTAGTGTATCGTCATAAGCACATGTTGTTGAGTTCTTCTTTTTCGTACGATCTGAGTTCATATACCTGTTGTTAAGTCAGTTATTTTCGATGGCGAACGGATACGCGCGACTTATGGAGTCGGCTCAATCGGTCCCCGCGGCATCCAAGGGGATTCAAGAGAAACTTTTTTCGCGACGGGAGGAAGCTCGATTCACATATTGGGTGCTCGGAACACATTGGAGAAGCGAGATCAGTGAGGGAGCCGCGGTTGCTCTCTATCAACAGTGCCGTGGTGGCATTCGTCGAGGCCTCGTATCCAAGAATCTTACGCCGATTCCAGACCGATGTGAAAAGAATCTAGTGCCGAAGCGTTTTCCTTTTTCCGGGAATCGGCGGCCGAATTGTATTCATGGCCCTTATTGTGCGTGCGCTTCCAAGGCTCGGACGGGACGATTCGGAGCAAGCACGCTTCGGTCGTCGATTTTCGAACGAGTTTTTCCGATCAGCTCGATCTGAATTCGCATGCCCAATGACCTTCCGCCGAAGCGCTTTGCTAGTTCGAATGATGGTCGATCTAGGCATCCCTTGGCGAGGAGAAAGTCCCATGGATCACTGTGCACCGTGAGGCCTTCTTTCCGAGGAGCCAACCCGTAGGGGACGCGTCCTCTGACCCTATCGCAGAGTAGGAGAAAGTCGCCTGTAATGAGCGAATTGTATTTCATCACCATCCTGCATGCAACCGACGTAGATTCAATAAACCCCATTTGGATCTTTGATGAAGTATCTCAGTTGTTTTCATTTCAGTTCCCGAGATAACCCTGTCTTGTGCGTGCATGGTTTGACTGTTCAGAAAAGATAAAGCGGGACATCCTCCCGCTAGATGCTTGATCAGGAGGGAACACTCCTAGGTACTCATGAGAATTTTTCTTTCGGGCAGGTTCCACGCGCAGTGTCAGCTCGGTGGCCAGTCCTACAGCCGGATCTCACAACTCAAACCCTTTCCCGATAACGAACAACTTTTTTGAAGCTAAAGCCTCAGGTACGATTCCAAGGAGACAGCAGGGTCTCCGTCGAGCCCACAGGTATCCTGGACTAGGCAACAACATGACTGGCTATTCGCCGCCTTCTAAAGGATTCTCGGTCGTCTAATGGCTGAGATTAGCTCAAGACTGAACTTAAGGAATGAGCGAACTTAATCCGAACCATTCTAGGACTAGAGAATCCTACGCCCGCAATGCAGTCTCTAATGGATCGGCTACAGATAAAACTCCACTCGTTCAGCAACGGGGGCCATCCCACAATGGCTCTCTCTTTCAAAGATAGGATCTTGGATTCAGGTCAGTTCGTTCGTCCCTGCGTCTGTCGAGTGATTATCGAATTCGAGGATCACATGCGTACAATGCTGTTTCCCATGGAACCTCGAGACATTTCAAGACTCGTGACAATTTATTACAGGTGATCTGTACAGAGCGGATAGCGTGACTCGACGGAGCAGGAGCTACAGTCCCGAGATCGCATAAGAGCGACTCAATGTGCCGGACCGGTGTATCTGTTCCGGGGCACTGTACCCCACGAACGAAAAGATCTTTATATATATATCGTAGGAAAGTTTTGTTTAAATTTATTGAAGCCCCGCCCCACTTGCCGGTGTGAGAGAGACTTCCAGCAGTCTTGTGATGGGCGAATATTCCCACGTTCGTTCCTGGGGCATGTGCGGGACAAGCATTGTATTGATTTGTTCATTCGCCGAGCTCCACGGTATCGGCGGTGGTGTATTTTGAGGTTGGATGTGCAGCTCTGACCGGATGTTGTAAATAACGAAAGTTTTATCTTATACTGGGATTACAGTGTCAACAACGTTTGTACAAAGTGTGCATATATGATGGAATAAAGCGAATCCGTGTGCAACTCCACAGGAGTTGTTAACTTAAGAACGAGCCGCTCGCCGCTTCTTTACCCGAGAATTTCTGCCGACTTCCCTGCGACACGCTTCCGATTCGACCGCGTCACTCCGTTGGACTATTTCGAGTTCAATGTCCTTGCTCACTTCGACTCGGCAAGATGCTCTGATGGACCGGAGGGTGCCAAGTCCATGCATGCGATCAACCTCATTCCTCTACTCTGAAAGGAAGAGCGCCGTGTCCGCGGACACCCGCTCGAGATAGCGTTGCTCCTCCGGAACACGACTGTATGACTCCTGACGGAAAGTGTCCCTGCTTCGAAATAGCGAGTTTCGTACAGGAGAGAAGACGGACGCGGGCTCCGTTGGCCAGAAGAAACTTCGCCAAATACGTATCATCGCCCCGCGATCTAATGCGCTGCCATTAGACCGGAAGTGCAGCTCACTGATTATCTCATGGAATCCATTCCTCTCCCGCCGGCTGCGCTGATCCAGAGAGGCTCTTCAGCATTGTCTTAGGAGAGGAAAACAAGAAGACAGAAAATCGTCACCGAAACGGATACTCGGGAATGCTCAATGCGGATAAATGTCCACATCCGTGAGCACTTTCTTTCCCCCTGATCCAACGATGAACTGCTGAAAAATCCAAGTTCTGCTTGGACCTGTTTTCCGAAAGCGCAACGAAGCGGCAATCGTCAACATCGAATTAACGAGCTCGACTTCATGCAACGACACGAGTCAAATACTGGCAGTCCCCGCGCCGTCCTGATTAATTATTTAAGTCGCAGTTGTCCCCCGAATTTCACCTGTAGATCTACGAGAATTGCTGAGCCGTAAGGATGCGGCGCTCGTCTGTCCACGGGAAGTATTCTCGCGGCTTTCGCCGGTATCGAAAATTCAAGGTTCAAAATTCCCCGGATTCGGGTCTAAATTCTTCCCGGCAGTAGGAGATGCTGTTCAGTATTTGAAGTCCGCATGAGCTGATGCGGTCGGCTACTTCTGTAAGGCATGTTCCAATAGCCGGAGCCCTCTCCCCAGAAATCTGGGTTTTTCTCCCAAGCTGGCACGGCTGACCCGATTTCGTCTTCCGTCGCGGCACTTCTTCTCCGGCTTACGAGTGAGTGAGTGCAGCGTCGATTGTTCGTTTGTTCCCGGAGATTTTTTCCCGATTTTCCATTCTGGTTCATCGAGACTCAGGAGCAGGAGTCAACGCGTTCGGAGTCCTTCGTCTCAGCACTAAGGATATTCGCCAAGTTGTTATCTCGCGGTGACGACAGGAAGCTCTCATTCATTCGGTCGTTCACGCTCGAACAGTTCCACTTGTGGCTGATGTTTCATCGTGCCGACTAGGCAGGGCCAGTCCAGACTCGATCCTACTTCTTCCGAAGAGAATCTCTCGAGGTTCAGGAGAGGGCCCAGCGGAAGAATTGAAGTGTGCTTCCGCTTTTAGGTCAACGATGGCGGTAATCGATCAGGTGAAGATCTACTCAGCCGTTTTCGGCGGTTTGTCCCTCTCGTGTTTGATCCTCCCTTACGTGTGGACCTATGTGCAAATTACTGGAGCCTTGTGCATCCTGTGTATGCTCGCCCGGAGGATAACAACCGAATATAATCGACAAAGGGGCAAGAAGCCGGTCAACCCACGGGACAAGGTCAGTCGATGCCGACAAGAGACGGTACAAGGTTCATATAGTTATTCCCGTGACCTCACAGAGCTCGGGTTGAGGCCACTGTTCCGTGATCGACACTCCTGGCACGCTATATTTGATGATAACTGTAGCAAAAAATAATTCACAAGAATGTTTCCAAAGGACCCTCGTTTTATTCTCAAAGCTCTTTGGGATTTGCAGGCCGTGTTCATCACGGGTTGCGATTCCGGATTCGGCTTCGAACTGGTCCGCCGTCTCGACAAAATCGGATACAAGGTATGGGGACGTGAAATTTATTCTGCAGGGATCCTTGGAGCGTTCCGACGTCACCGGAAATGCTTGCGCCCTTAGTCGATGAAATCTAGATTTATCAAGACTCTCTTGGGGACCGGTTCCAGCGAATTATTCGATTCCAGGTTTTCGCGGGATGTTTGTTCCCTGAAGGCGATGGTGCTAACAATCTCAAAAAGATGACTTCGAATGAGGTATGACGTCAGATGGGCCGCGGAATTTTTCTCTGCACAGAGTCGTATTTTCCTTTTCAGAAGATCGGGATCAAGGTCCCTCCTATCCACACAAGTCCTCATGATGAGGAAATTCATTCAGAATCAAGAAATTGGCATTCCACAGGTGACAATCGTTCCCCTCGACGTGACGAAAGACGAATCGGTCAACGCTGCATACGAGACCGTATCGAAATCACTGAAGAACAAGAGTTGGTATTGGGGCCGGAGTTCGGCCTCGGGGAGCATCATTAGACACTCCGTCGATATTCGAAACGTCGACGGCGAGTCTTGATCTTGAAAATGAGCTTCTATCCCCAACAGAATTGTGGGCCGTCGTCGGCAACGCGGGAGTCTGTTACGCTGGAGAAGTTGAATGGGGATCGTTGGACTGGCTCCAGAGAACCTTCGACGTCAACGTCATAGGCCTCGTGAGATCTGTTCGACCCTTCCTTCCCCTCCTCAGGCAGAGCAAGGGACGTGTTCTGTGCACGACTTCTCTGTGGGGTGAGCGAGTAGAACATAATAGGACATATACTCCGAGAATCTAACGAGGCATCGACGCTCGAAAATCCCATAGTCGTTGAGAAATTAAGCTATTCCGCGTAATGAAACGTCACCTATATTCCGTCAGGACACTACGCGATCCCTCCGGCTGTCCCGTACTGCATGTCGAAGGCCGCCGCGCGTTACTTTGTAGATGGGCTACGACGAGAAATGAAGAAATTCGGAGTCAAGTGCATTTCAATGGAGCCAAATGTTTACAAGTTTGTGTCGTTCTCCCGAAAAGCAGGATCAGATCAGGATTATCAGAACGTCGGAGCTTTGCAGGAAAAACTCTGAGACTCGATTCTAATTCCAGGACCAACCTCACCGACGACAATCTCCTCATCCAATTCATGCAGAAGTCGTGGGATTCGACTCCCGATTCGATCAAGAGAGATTACGGGGAGGCTTACTTCAAGAAAGCCTGTGAATACCTCTCGGCGCACATAAGCGCCGGTCGCACACAGGTACTCGACTTCCGTTGTCAGTCAGAAGAATCCGAAGGAGAATGCCAGAATGAGCGGAAGAAGCGAATTTTGCCATGAGCTTCTGCTAAATCGGATGATGTGCTTAGACTCAGCGTGATTTCTCTTCTCGCAGGTTTCGGAAGTCGTGGACGACTTTGTCGAAGCGGTTACTGCAACTCATCCGAAATACGCTTATCACCCCGATGGATGGCTGAGAGGCTTGAGCTGGCGTCTGGCTCTGTTGGCGCCTCCCGCACTGCAGGATGAAATCATTAACTACATTGCTCAACCAGTCGAGTATGTCGCGCTCAAACGAGGCAAGTCTTCCGAGAAGCAAGGCTGAGGACCACGTCGTTTGTTTATTGTTTAATATGTGAGATATGTGATAATCCCAAACATTTTGCTCTTACCGAACTTTTCGATGTGAATTGATGATAAAACTACCTTGAGCTTGCATTTGGAATAAATGGGAGCGCTTAGTTCAGAGTTTTCCTTGTGAACCCACGAATGCTCCCCACCGACGTCTGCGGTAGACAATCGGATCTACCCTTGGAATCAGGATGATCCGGACGACGACGGGAGGGAAGACCGCCTCGATGGCGCGACGTTATCACGGGCTTGGCGATCTCGGATCGTATTTATTTATTATTATCAACGAACGTATTTACAAGACAAAAACATGTTCACTGCCATGACCAGTCCCGTCCCGCAGAGACATGCCACCAGCTCCCAAGTGTCCCAGACGAGATATTCGTATATTGACGGGAGGCAGCCCTGTCTGAAAGGGAAAGATCTTATATGCTGAGCAAGTCGCAAGATTGAAGCATGGCTGATTAGTCTGATTAGAATGGATAACGAACTCAACGAACCGATGAATCGCGGTGTTGTTCTTGACGACGGGATTCAAAGCCGCATCATTCATGTCCTGAATCGGGAAAGAGGGTCACGAAAAATCGGAGAGGAGTGGAATAAAAAAGAATTGGTCGCTCGGGGAGTAAATGAGAGGAACAGAAACACTCCAGGGGAAGCTCATTTGGATACGCACCGCGTTTTTGAGCTCGAAGCATGTCTTGGGGAACTCGTTCCGGCCGTTGAGACCTCTTCGCTTCCACTGCGACTGATCGAAATTCTGGGGGGACTGCAGACCACAGCAGCCAAACCGAACCTGATCCGCGGCGGGAAATCGAATTAGGGCGCATAACTCAGAGCTCCTGAATATTTCGGTGATCGCGGATTGCCATACTCTAGACCGGACAAGTCACAACAAAGACCGACCCGTCATACTGTCCCCTCACCTGGATGAAATCGACTCCGTGAGTGACCTCGGGCAGGATGCCGTAATCTTCCTGCAGTTGCCGTAAAGCGTCTTTCCTGAAAAACTGTTCGAGTTCTGGCTGTCCCCGTTTCATAGCGACCGCGGCATACACCAGAAAACCGATGACGCCGACCGTAAGCATGAAGTGAATGAAGCGCACGCAGATCTTCTTCGAGAAGGCAAAGCAACCGTTCACAATGGCCAGAAGCGAGACCAACAGAATGACGGTTGGAATGTTCTTGAGATTCGTGTTCCTATTGCTCACTAGATAGAGTTGCGTCATCAGTGTGCGGGAGCTGTCAATAACAAAACTGTAGAGCGCCCACGTCGCCAGAAATACCCCACTGAGTACGTAGACGGTTCCAAGCAAATTTCCGAATTTTCTGTTCTGTCCGGGGTCATGATGGATTATCTTTCCTCCGAACACCGGTGTAGGGAACTCGATGGATTCGGAAAGATCAAGCGAATCCTGTATGAACTTCCTCGAAGTGCGTGGTGTCACTGACGGTTTCACGAGGTGAGCGTGCGGAACTTCGAAAACCCGAGGTGTGTACATTATGGCGAATTTCGGGTCAGCTGCTGCGCTGGGAGAGTTTATGGGAGCGAGAAAAGCACGGGTCCTTCAGGAAAGCTCCGCGGGTCGTCGTTCCATCGTGTGTTTTTCCGTCGAGAATCCACAGTAGTGCAGAGTTCTATCAAGCAGATGTGTTCGTACCTCTCAGTCAGTGATACCAGGAAAGCACTCGTGAACGCACACACAACATTATCCGGGCAAAACAGAGTCTCAGATATGCACTACCTCCGAAGATTCCAGTAAAACCGTGGATATCAAAGTAGAGGCGATGGAGCCTCAACACTCTAGCGCCCTTGGAATGAGATGCGAACCTCACAACGATTGACAATGATTTGGTAACACCTGTGAGTATCCTAGGATCATCTAAGACCCTCGATTACGGTGAGTTGTGCGCGTCCTTCCGTCCGGACCGACTGAGGGAAAAGAGCGAGCGGACCGACCAGCGCACAACCACACAGCAAAATACAAAGGGCATCCGGGCCTTTGTGGTCGACTGCGCGAATTGAAGTCAACCGTCAGCCAGTCGGTCCCGCAGTCCATCCACCCAGGTTGTTCGGCTGGCTAAGCGTCTGGCTGGCTGGTTCACGGACTACGACTGCATCCTACACGGGATCGTCACCCCTCCCATTCTGGTGACGGCACCAGCTCTCAATGAAGGATGCGGCGGCAAACATTGCCTCTGGTACCGCCGGGATTCCGCATGATGAGCGGTTCGGTCGCCGAAAACATCATTCCGATCTATTGACTCCGGGGATTAGCCGCGAGTCTCGACACGGCGACTTTCGCCAAGAGAGCCCTCAGGGGCTCAGCATCCGTACGGAGAGCGGTGCTCGTAGTCTCCATCCACCCCTGCAAATATCGAATAGGAATACATTCGTACATCAGAAATGAATTCCTTCGTTTCCGACGCGAACCGTCGACCGTGCGGAATCCATTGTCCACTCCTGCAGGTCTTCGCGTGGCAAATCGACGGCTCCCCCATCAAAGTCACGATCTGATGACCTTGGCACTAATCTGACAAGACTTCTAGCTATCCTTTCGGCGTCGACGATTGATACAATGGACCATCTACTCTCTATTTTTGACACCCAGACGGGCGCTTGTGTCTTTGGGCTGCGGCTCAGATTTACCGCGATTCCCGTCGATCATACAGCTCCCCGCATTCCTTTACTGCCCGCCGCGGGATTGGCTCGGGACGCGCAGAGTCGAGAGATGAGGAGCGGTCTCAAAGAATCTTCTAAAATGCAGTGACTTTTGGCGGACTGTTGGTTCGTAGCTCCGTCCACTACAGCGGTCTGGGATGGACCACGACCTGATTCGCTTGCCCATGGCTTCTGGAACTTGGACGCAAGGGGACAAATTCACGAAAGAGGTCATGGGGAGTCAACAGAGGATCCAATGCTGTCCGGATTCCACTTCATTCCCTCAGAATCCCCCTCTTGCAGTCTGATACATACACATAGTCCTCCCTGATCGAAATTGTGGATCATTCGGATCAGTTGCGAATCTGTGGTTTGGAAAGGAGGTGTTCAGAGGCTTAGACACTGTCGGAATAGCAGGAGAGTTTAGTCGAGCAAACGAGGAAAAGGAATGTCGAGCTCTGATGCCCCCGTAGTCCACAATACACCGAAAACCGGAACGACAGGATTATCGCGATTTAGTCGTTTGTTCGTGAATTTGCATCTACGGTGACATTACGCAACGCTTATTGTACGTCTCATTTACCGAGCATCGTCATTGTAAAACAAAAGTTGACAAACCCTCTTCTCAGCAGAATCGACACAGGGAGATTCGGAACGAGAGCAGAAAGCGGAAATCCGTGACATTCTGCTTCCCACTGTTTGTGCGAGAGCTCTGTGCTGTGAGTCATAACAAGCTCCGCTCGCTGGCGAAGCATCGAATCCAGCCCCACGAAAATCATTCTATTCATCACGCATTTGCTCCCGGGGCGGAGACAGTGTTCGCTGGTGGCTTCGCCGCACAATCCGCGTGGACCCTGATCAGACCGGTCTTGGTAGGTCTCCACTTCTGGTGCAGAAGCTGAACAACTGACAACTGATCTCACTCGGACAGGATCAGAAATCGATATTCGCCAAGCGAGAGCGTCATCCACTCATTTACTCCGGAAGGATCAGCGAGCGGCATATTTCCGAGTTCAGCTTTCTCGGGACTGTGAGACATTCATTTTGGAAGCGAATCACTTCAAGACGAATGACTTGCCAGAAAACCATTCCATTGTCCACGGCAGGGGTATTATGGAAGCCGAGACTTCCAACGTCGAGCAGAAAAGCATACTAGGTCTTTAGAATACTTTTGTTTACCACTCCATTCCACACGTTCACGCGTCGAAAAGCATCATCCGACGCTCGACTGTTGAATGTTCATGAGCCCTCCTTCACTTACATGACCCCGGCTAACATTAGCAGAAGAGCGACGACATCAGAGAAAATGCCTATGGCACCTCGCTCGCAGCATGCTGTCTGGAACATGGATAGATAAACAAGCGAAGAGAACTGCCAGGGGAATATTGAAACGGTATACATTGAATATTAAGATGGATATTAAAGTTATATATTAAAAAACGGCAAGTCCCGAGCAGGGAGCGAAGGGCGCGAGGATTGGAACCATTCAGTTAGACGGAATAGGAAGCGACCTTCGAATGAAATGCATTCACAGGACCAGAATATGGATATCCAACGGGGATGAGTTGAGAGGATCACAAAATCAAAATAACAACGGCATCTTCGGGCATTTCTGTGGGGCATGGCTTGAGGATGTGGAGAATTTCCGAGGCCTCGGGAAGTTCTGTTGGAGCAGACACATCTACGGACTCGACCTAACAAAAGCGAGAGGCTAAAAAAAGAGGCTCCGATGGATCGAAACGTCGTGTCCGTTGGGAGAGTCTGAGGAGCGTTCCTGAGAGTCAACCGGTGAGCGCGGCCCCAAACCAAACTCGATCGGATAATCTCAGAGCGCGGCGGTCGAGGCTTTAACCCTTATAACCTGATTCGAGCCTTGGAGGGGAAGCTCTCTCGAGACACCTCGTCTCAAATGTATAGGAACGAAAGCGACCTGAGACTGGTCCGAGGAACTTCCGTACGAAAACCAACGGAAACTTTTCGAAGACCGTTGTCAAGCGGTTCAGCTCTGAGCTTGCCTTGACCCAGTGTATGGAGTCAGCTGTTCGTCTGCTGCTGCTCTCCTTTACGTTTAGCTCTTTCGCTCCTGTGACGTCATGCTCCATCCTTCGGTCTAGACCACCACCACACTCCGATCTACGAGCGCTCGCCCACATACTACATCCACTTCTCGCTTCGTGTGGCAGTGCTCTTCTCCACCAAGCATTGGAAACATAAGTCTGCTGAAGCAAGAGCTGCACTGAGTGGGACCTCGCGCACGATCGAAAAGCCTCGACTCTGAGTGGTGTTCATCCTCATACTGGGCGACTGAGTCGACGCCCGCACGACCGCCTGCTCGCTCGAACGCCCGCCCGACCGCCCACCGCCCGCGCAGATCCCGCGTGGACTCGCCCGGCAGCGATGGCAAAAGACCGTCGCTGATGGATCCGAGCTCGAGCATCGAGGGTCACCAGAGTGCGCAAGCCAAACAGACGTCGATCCACGGAAAGTATCGAGGCTTGACATCGCATCGCTGCAAGTGCTTGCTCAGTGTATCGTCCACGTTGCAGAAGTGAAACGAAGCCGTCACGACGAACAACGATTCTCACAGAATGGCCTGCGGTCATCCGCTGTCGGACGAAACTCCATCGTCTCCGAGTCGGCCTGCCGGGGACTACGGCGACAAATCCGGAACCCGCCTCGTGCAGTAATCACAGCGAGTCATGCGGAGGAAAAAAACACTCGACCTAATCGATAGCTGTTAATAATAACATAAGTAGTAGTGCGTGTCAGTCTAAAGTTCTTCGAGAAGATGGGGATGCATCTGTTTCACTTCGAAAACATCCCCGCGCTCCATTCTCACCGACCACGAAGACGACGACAGCAGCAGCAAGAACGACTCGAAGGAGAGCAACCGCAGAAACACATTTGGGTCTAGAGTTGAGAAGTGCAACGTCGAGCAGTCATCAGGGAGTTCCTTGCCGACGACCATGAAAATATTTCCTGTGGTGGATCGAAGCCCGTTTTCGTACAGTTACACGACCAGCTCGACGATGTGAGCCCGCCGATGATCTGAGCAGTCATGTGAATTAGGGCGTAGACCAAACTCTTTCCGATGAGTGCGACATGTGAGTGAGGAGACGATGTGTCGGACTTAAAAACAACTGTTGACACAGAGGAGACCGAGGAGGCATCGTTTGGAGCTGAGGTCCATAAAATCAACTCAAGTTCTCGATCGATATCCTTCCTTTCAACAATCAAGCATGTCTCTTCTCTGTGTGACCGGTAAGTTGATTCCCTCTATCGACCGAGTCTTCATTAGAGTGAAATTACGGAACTGAAGTCACTGGAATGAGCTGCTCACTGAACAGGAGTCACTGGAGTGAACGCCGGTGCCGCTCATTTGACGGAGAGCACTCCATGAGGTTCTCGCTCTTTTATCTTCGCTTCCTGACGGAGGCTAGAAAAATCCTCGACGAACAGAGCGATTCCGGGTAATCACCGACTGGATGTGAAAACCTCTCACCGCGAAATTAGGCGTTTCTCTTGGAGCTCCAGGGCCTTTGTTGAGAGAGTATCAGATTCAAGAAACTGTTTGAGAGCTCTCGACGATTCTTGACGACGGACATCCCTCTGCCCTTGGATATACGACAGTAAACTTGAGAGGACAGGTCTCATTGTCGCATCAAGGCACCGCACCGCTAAAACGAATGATAGGTCACAGTTTTGCATGAGCCCAGTTCTTTCACGGTCAGTGCTCTTCGGAACAGCTACGGGAGCATCGGTATCCGATCCATACGTCACGGTCCGTAATCCGAGCCGGACATGGACTCATTCGAGTCGGAGCTCGGAGCTCACTCATCATCAGAGTTGATGTTCGTAAATAAGGAAAAGGTTCAAACTTTGGCTACGGAAGGAACAGCTGAACTGTCGGCCAAATGAACGCGCGTTACGCGGTGCGATCTTCGCCGTACTCATCATGTTCTTGAGCGACCTCATATCGTAGGCTGGGTATTTAGAGCTGTACTCGCTTATCGCTGCGTCACAGGTGCTCCCTCTGACCCTGAGAACGGGACGCGGTTCTGACCGAGAAGTCGCCAGGTCCCTGGAGTTGATCGACGATAGAATCGCCTCGGAAAAGTATGCTAGAACGGACTCCTCGTACGGATTTCCGTCACCGCGAAGCTTTTCATTTCACGATGCAGACATTGGATGCCAGACTTCTCCCGCTATAAACGTGTTCTGCATGCGGTCGGTGGGTGTACGGACAGCTGCCGTGAACTTGAATGTTTCGCTGGAGCAGCAGATGCTTGCTATTACATCGAAAAGCGTCCACAGAACAATCGGGAATCGAGACCGAATAGGCAGCGACCGTGAACTTTGTAATTCGCTAGCGGACCACATCATCGGGGCCGCTCTCTCCTCTCGGCATCTAGTCAGCTAGTCTTGACCTAACGCGCAGACGTCCAGACAAGTAGGGACCTACGAAATCGTCGACTGCCAACAATGGCCTCACACCCATATAATATGTATTCATGTGTACCCTGAAAGCTCGTCTGGAGACCGAGCGATTCGGACACCCAGCGAGGAATTGGAGTCATGTCACCTCGGTCATAGAAGCAATGGAGTGTCCGTCCTTCGGTCCCGTGGGTTCTCATCGGGATTCATGGAGATCAGCGTCTCGTTCGCCTATAATAATGGATGACGAGACAATTCCTTCCGTAAAAACGCTCGAATTCTCCCGTGCACACAGACACAGCCGTATCGCCAGGGGAGTGGACGAGTTGCCCGCACTGCATATAGGCGGAGCAGCCCTTGGCTTAAGCAGACCCACCTAAATGTGATTCGCAAATCGTTCGGAAGTTATTCTTAGTTCGATGATAGGAGCCTGGATCATGAACTTTGGTTCGGCTGATGCCGCTGGACGCTTCGATCCGAGCTAGAATTAAACGCGCTTTGCCTAGCTTTCTCCATCGTCGGACACACTCTGAACTCGAGCCTCTATCCCGATTTCCGACCGACCGATGAGCGCGCGAGATGCTCCTCTCCCCGTGCACCTCTGATTTTTTCCCGGGCGAGCTGCAAACTCGAATCACCTTCTATTCCAAACAAAGACCTATTCTGCGACCAAAGCAAGCCGAACGACTGGCTCGCCGTCGAGCCACGAAACAGGATCGATTGATGTCGCCGGAGACATATTCAAATTCGGGAATCGATTCGCAGCCATTGGATTCAGTTAAAATCACCGGAACTTGAGTTGATTTTTGAAAAAAAAAACATCTCGACGTCAGCGACGGCGAACGCAATAGCGGTAGCAGGGAGCGTGGTTGTCGTTATAGGAGCCGGCATAAGGGCGCTGACTCATCTCACGAACTGCTACAGCAGCAGCAGAAATCGCCTTCTGCCCAGAGATATGAGAAGACTTGCTTACTTACCACTTACTGAGCCCGCTTGTTCCTAAATCAAATAAGCGAGGAGGAACTCCGCTCGAATGCACACGACAGCATTGTTCCCGATTCCTCTCAACGTCATCGTCTCGTGACGACAACGCCACAGTACGTACATCTTCGTCTGGGAGACGGAGATGGGAGAAAAATGAAAAGTCAAAATTATTAGCACGCGGTCGGGCTTCACATTTCCGGAGTGCTTGATTAGCCCTCGTTATCGGCTGGCTGGGGGCTCGCACATCCGGCGAGTAACTGCCTGCACAGAAACAGAACCAGGGTCCGAATCCATTTCGGAGCGAACTCGCAGACGCTCTACGTTTTCGAGGAGGTGAATCGAGAGCGATCGACTCCTGGCTCCTGGGTGATCAGGAAGTTTTGGGACACGATTCGTTTGGTCCGAAGAAGCTGCTTCAAGACAGCGAAATGGGATGAGGTCAGAACGGTGAGGTCGGTTCGCTGCGTAGGGAAGGCATACCACAGCAAAAGCAGTCTTGCCGTATGAGCTCCGAAATGTTTTGGAATCACGATCCGGACGCATCAAATCAGAACGTAATCGTTCCATGCCTCGTCCCCGCGCTTCTCACCGAGCCTGGATGATTCTTCAGGCTCTCCGGTCGGCTGGGTCAGTGGCCGAAATCACACAGTCTCGATTCGGTTCCATCAGACGGAGTGATCGATTAATTAATGCACGGAGCAGGGATGTTCGAGAATTTGAAACCAGGTTCCGCATATCTGACTGTCATGGGAGTAAGTTCGATAGTAGGTCACCTTCACCTCGATCCTAAAAAGTTCTGCCAGGAGCTTTCTGATTATTGGGGGCCATCCTCCCATTGAAACTCTCAGAAGAGAATCGAGCAGATCGCTGGCCCATCATGAAATTGGAGGGTCTAAATAGGAACAGGTCGAAGTCGGGGCGGAACCCTTAGTCTGGGACGCCCCGAAAAGAATTTCTCATTCTCGCACGGCGCCGACGACCCAAAACCCTGCTGGAATTCACGACCCATACAAACTGAGCGGGACTGCTCACCCTTCGGGTCTCAATGAGTGACGAACACGGAGTACGACATGAGTGACGGATACTCATAAAATGGAGAGGAGGGGAGGGGGAGGTTTCGCAAGGCACAGCAGCATCCTCTCCACAGACCGCTCTCATCATGGATCTGGATTCGCATAAATAGCGATATAGCTCATTCGTGGACGTCGGTTCGTACTCGTTGCTCATGGTACTCCCGAAATTTTGAATCGCGCGCGGCTTCGGACTCTGTGTTCTCTCTCGAAGGAGTCTGTTAACCGCCATCTTGGATACTACCTTGTGGCCCTACACACCGGCCGTGAAAACAAGATGGCAGCCCTCGCATGATGATACACACAGTCATAGGGTGGCTAACCAAAAAACTTTTTCGGGCTGATCCACACAGCCGAGGTTTAACGTCCCGGGTACTGCTATTCACATTGCTTACGGTGGCTAACCAGCTGACTGTCATCCCGGAGTGGCGCTAGAGTATATTCGCTCACGGCAGGAAAGCTCTCCTTGATCTTCGCCATGCGGCTCCTCAAGTGTCCTGTCCAGAACTATCACTGGGGAAAACCAGGCGATCGGAGCTTGGTGGCTAGTCTCGGACTCTCCGGAGGTCACCTCGAAAGCATAGATATCGGAACGCACTACGCGGAACTGTGGATGGGCACGCATCCGTCCAAGCCCTCTATTCTCATAGGGGAACAGCAATCCCTATTACGAGAGGAGAGCGGAGATCTGAGTTTCCTCTTGAAGGTGTTGTCCATCGATACAGCTCTCTCCATCCAAGCGCATCCCAACAAGAGTCATGCCGTACAATTGCACGCGAAAGATCCGGCGAACTATCCGGACTCTAATCACAAACCGGAAATCGCGATCGCGCTGACGGATTTCGAAGCCCTCTGCTGCTTCCGCCCCTTGGACAAGATATCTACTTTCATCCGTGGCGTGCCAGAACTGAAGTCGGTCGTCGGCGAAGTTCAGCTCCGTACGGAAGAGGACTTGAAGAAAGCTTTCTCGGCCGTCATGACTTGCCCGCCGGAAGTATTCCAACCGCAACTCGAAAAACTCCGGGACCGATTGAAAAAGCCCGATGAGGTCGTCCCGGATGACCTCCGGGAGATTATTTGCCGTCTAAGTTCTCAGTATCCCGGCGACATTGGGATATTCAACTTGTTTTTCCTGAACTTCGTCAAACTCGCCCCCGGGGAAGCGCTGTTCCTCGCTGCGAACGAGCCTCATGCCTACCTCAGTGGGAACTGCGTCGAGTGCATGGCAACATCCGATAACGTCGTCAGAGCTGGACTGACGCCAAAATTCAAGGACGTGCCCACGTTGGTAGAGATGCTGAGCTACAACTGCACGGAAGAGGTTCGCTTCAAACCGGAAATCGTTTCTGCGTCCGTCCAGAGATTTCGACCGCCTGTTGACGATTTCGCCGTCATGAGGTTCGATGTTCGAGAGAGGCAAACCGTCGACGAAGTGAACTCGCCCAGCATCCTGATCGTCGTTGAGGGCAGCGGAAATTTCTCCGACGAGCACGAGAGTCTCGACGTGCGAGACGGACATGTTATCTACCTGCCGGCGGGCACGCGTTTTAACGTCACGGGATCGCTTCTATTTTTTCAAGCTTATACACCAAATTAGATTCCCGGAGCTCGTTCATTCGAACCAAATCGGAGAGCTGTCGGCTAGTGAAGAAATAAATAACGTTGAGAAAATATCGGAAACCTCGAACGATCATTCGTTTTCTTTCACACGAGCGACAATGAAAGAATAGAATTGTCCGAAAATGTAGGAATTGGTCCATCCTTGTTAGTCTTGTGGTGCCGGGGCATATCGATCACCGGGTTTCCCGACGGGGCACGCAGCTCATGAGGGCGCTAACAGCTCGCGAGGAGAAATTTCACATCGTCACGCGAGCTCGTTCAAATAATCTGCGTCCGCCGACCTGGGTTCACCGTTTCATGACAGCTACGGCAAAGGGAAAGCCACGGGCGAATCACAAGACAGTCGGAAGAGACGCAGCTGGGGAAAAGCGGAGGGGGCGCCCATAGTCCGCAGCGCATTTCTCCCACTCAGTCAGACGTATGAACTGTCTAATGGGTACGATTTGCAGTGGGATGGTGGAAATTGGTATGCGCGATCACGCATGGAACAGATTAACTTCAACTGACAGAGCAATGACAAGAATTCGGAGGCTCGGAAGATATTCTGTATGCAGTCCTATCCAGTATATGAAGTCAATAGACTCGACGAGAAGACGGATTCTGGTTTGGAGTCACGGTGGCCGAGCCCTAGAGCCCCGACGTGGTCCATCGCTGTACATCTTTAGGAGAACCGAATCAACCGAGAGTCCATCAAGTAATCGACGGTTATAAATGAACCATATTAGGATTCTCGATCCTAGCTGATGTTTCTCGCACAAAAGAGTCGAATCCGATCGAATTATCCTTCGTCTCTTTCCTCCTAAAGATCGCAAATCGTGGGATGAACACGGCTGTATCAATGTATATTTCCCGTACGTATTGACTATTTTAGAGGGTCCGCGACTTCTGCGTGAATATCCTACCGTTAATATCCTACTAGAAAAGTGGTGCGGTGTCCAATATACAGGCAGTTACCTTCCAGCGGCCAGTCTCTCATATACGGGCAGCGTCCACTATACGGGCAGACTCTCATTACGGGCGGTTTTGAGGGTTGTCATTCAGGTGGCCGATCCGCGAAAAACGGATGCTTCCCTCGCAGCTCGTCTTCCTGACTATCTATTATGCTGGGTTATTATACAATTGGTTTAACATTGTGCGCCAGTATGAGCGGCCGGGGTCGACCCTTTTGTTGGTTTTGGTCGACGGGAGATATAGATTGGCAGCCTCCCTCAAACGGGGAATCTCCAATGGAGGGGAAGTCTCTGATAAAGGGCAGCTTTTGGAAGGTCGAAAGATAGACGGCCATGCCCTTTTATTAGGATATCGGAGGCATTAGTTATGCGCGCTTCACGCCGGCACCGTAAGCCTTCCTCCGATCCACCCTGAGTGGTTCCGCGATTTCTACTAGCCTGATCGATTTCCAGTGCGTTCGGCGTTCCTGAAGGGTGTAGGAGCGCAAACTTCGAGTTATGTCGTCCTGAAGCTCCAGAATGTCAAATCGACCACAGTGGCTGTTCGAGGCAACAATCCGACGTGGGAACAGGATTTCATATTGTGAGTTTGCGATTTTTTGCCGAAATTATATCAGTACCCCCTGCGACGTCCCGATACCTCTATTTTAATGAATTTTTCAGTGAAACCTCCCAGATGGACGCGAGTCTCGTGGTCGAGCTCTGGAACAAGGGGATGCTGTGGGACAAACTGGTGGGCTGCGCGCTCATTCCTCTTCAGGTCAGTGCTCGTTGAGAAGACCCTTGATATCGTTGAGCCTTGTCAACGCGGGGAAAATCCGATAACATCAACTTCCCTCCTCTCACTGGACCTACAGGGCATTCAGTACAGTGCGGAACCTTCTGAGGGCGTCTGGCTCACGCTCGACGCCGAATTCATCAACTCAACCGATGGACATCCTCAGGGGACCAAAACGCCTACGGGACATCAACTTCTCATCGAAGCCCATTTCGAACTCCCTTACGGTGAGATTACATGGGGCAATTTCATAGAATCGTCTGCCTCTGATTGTTCGTCGGTATTCTTCCCTCGTATCGGATCTGCCTGAGTTCCACCAATGTGAGACCCGGTTTATTCACTGATTGAGCAGAGATCAGCGCTGATGCGGGTCCGGAGCTTGCCGACAAGCTGCAGATGCTCAATACCATCATGGATGAAGAAGTACAGCATAACAAACGGGGAATGTTCGCCTTGAACTGTGAGTGTCTCAGGGGCTCGAGGAAGGAATATATAGTCTTCGAATGATCGAAACTTCGACATAGCTCGAGACGGCTTCAAGGGACGCCTTGGGTACATTCGTGAAATTGAAAACATTCCGAGCCGTTTCTTTCTTCTAGCGGGCGTATCGGAGGACAGCGACTACACTTCAGACGTCGGCTATCCGGCCGTGGGTTCCACCCCGTCGGGGTCTCATCCGCCCCCGCTGAACACACAGCACGTCAACGTAAATCCTTCCGTGTTTGGAGGAGCTGGTGTTGTTCACGCCCACCTGCAGCAGGTAGGCTGAGCGATTCGGCTCTGCTTCATGGTTGGAAAGGAAATGCGGAGTAGCAAACGATGAATTCTTTCCACAAATCAATCGACTCGTCAATTACAGCAGTACAACCGTCAGACCGATCAGCTCGTGCCGGGCCAGGATACGAATCTACTTCAGAGTCAGCCGACCCCAGGTATGCCTCCCCCTTGGTAATCCTCTCGAAGCCTGCCATCGAAATGTGTGTTTCGACAGCCATCTCGTGACGTGTCTTGAGCGGCGTCTGACTCCCGCTTCCCCACTATAGCGTCAGCTGCGGGAGCATATTCGGCTGCGGCCCGGCTACAACAACAGCAACAATTGGCACGGCAGCAACAACAGCTCCAGCAGCTGCAACAGCAACAGGAACTTCAGCGACAGCAAGATTTTCAAACCCAGCAGGTGGTTATCGCTGAGCTAGCCTCACGCATCTCATAAGTGTATTTTATTCCTTCCTCCCCGTCTCGTCCGATGACTTCCTATGCTGGAGCCAGCTTAGAGAAATCTATTCCTCTCACAGGAGCTTCGTTGCCAACAAGAGATCCTCAAACAACAACAATTGGAGTTCCAAAGGCAGCAGGTATGAACACGGATTCCAGCCGAGATTTTTCCATCCCCGATTATGAGCAAGGCGAATTAAGCTTGACCCCGGCTCATGGATCAGTTTGACAATGAGCATCTGTTCTCGATCCAGGAGTTTGTCCGCCAACATGATTACCAGCGGCAGCAGGACCTCGCAATTCAACAAGAGGAGATTCGGAAACAACAACAAGTTCTAAAAGTGAGGAACTGCAGAGTTTATTACCCCAAACAGGAGTCGGTATCGGTCACGGTTCCGACTGAAACTCCAGATAGCGAAATAGGATAGAATCGACTCATGGTAGTATTCGGAGCGCAAGAATAGCTGTAGACGTAGAAGGTCTTGAAGGAGCGGATCGTCAGCCGATCAGAGCAAGTCCTAGTCGTAAACGCGCCTGTTGCGATTCCTAGGACCTCCAAGAAACGCAGCGAAAAGAGATTCTTCGACAACAAGAGCTGCAGCGTCAACAAGAAATTCTCCAGCAAAATCAGCGATTACTCCAGCAGGTCGGTCCCCACCACGCTGCGGCCTATCCGTCCATGCTCCGCAGATATTTACAATAGATCGCATCCCGCGCGAGTTGATCCAGACTTCGGAATCTCGATGTTTCCGTAGACAGCGCCTCTATCTGAGGATTCTGAGCAAGCTGCAGTCGATTCGCACCTGGCTCTTTAGATAGCAAGATTTTCGTACCGTCAAATTTTAACACATTTTTCTATCGAATTCACATCCTCGGTCCGGCAGAAACTGGAGGTTGGTAACAGCGATGGAGTTCGGTCATAAATAGTTCCAGTGCTCTGTTTTTCCGAGCTATCTGCAACCAGCTTACTGATTCACTGGCCGCGAGGCTTATCGTTAGACCCAGGAGAATCACTGTCTCCGAACACAAAGCTAGATTTCCCGTCATATATTTGCTTGCGAGTTTGGCTTGCCTCGCCAATGGACTGACCCGATTCGACATGCTGAGTGCGAGGCTCACTCAGGAGACTGCATATTTGAACTCTCATGCTCCATGCAACCGAATGAATGAAAGCTAAGCTTAGTCGTCAGCTCCTCGACCCCAACGAACGATCACTGATAGCGAGCTGGTGACCCTCACCGTCAGAAGAACCCACTAATGCTCAAATATCTTCCTCCGACCCTGCTCTTCCACCGAGCCTTGCGCGGAATATGTAGTTGCCAGAATTCTCTATGATTTCATAATGTGAGCGATAACGGTAGGGAAGCCGCGTCGAATGCCTCCGACTCGGCGCGACACAGGATGCCGATTCACCTGACGAAATTGATCCGCTGTGATGCGACATTGGTTGCCGCTCGATTCTTTTAATTTCCCGTAGTTTAGATATGAGTGATGTTTTCTGAGGTTCCCTTATTGCCCTCGAGATAGCTGACACGAGTGCCTGTGTGCGGAGGCGACGATCAGGCCTGATGGACTTGGTTTGTTCTCGATAGCCTCTGCATATAAATAGCGGAGGTGTCCACAGCTTGCCTTCCCACTGATCTTTCCTGTCATCTAATTGAGTTCTTCATGTCCCTCATTGCAGCAGGGCGTCGCAGTTGTTACTCAAGGACCGACCGGCTACCAGCAAGCCAGGTAAGATTACCCCAGCGTATCGTTGGCCTTCACATCAGCCATACGCCTCCCTGTCAATCATCTCGGCGCTCGGCGTTTCCGTGAATCACACTTGTCGCAAGTGTTCCTCCATGGGGTTCCGGGATGAATTCAATGTTGTTGTGCGTTTTTCTGATTCTCTCACTCGATGCTTGAGTGCATGATTCTTCTTAACTTCGTCTCGGGGCAACGGAAATTTGCCTTCCCCTTGGTTTCAATTGAGCAAAACTTGTGATATCCGGAGTCCTTGTCCTACCCTCCACATCTATATCAGCTTGAATCTCTCTGCAGCGCAATGCAACCGAACATCAACGGAATGTTCAATGGCATACAAAATGGCGTACCGAATCTCTTCGAGTGAGTCTTCCAGTCGACCGGTCCAGTCGGATCGCCGTTTACAGGAGTGTAGGGTAGAGAGCCGCCTGAGTCGCTTCGTCACCTAGACCTTCTGCTTGTCTTTTCACGAGCTCCGGAGAAGGAGGGATTCTCCGCTTCGTAGAGCGTCTGTACCTCGATATCTTTCGCTGGAGTCAATGTCATTGAACTGTCGGTGAATGGAAGTGCCCCATCCTGCATTCGTCGTCCGAAGAGCCGAAAGAGCACACTTTGATTGAGATTCCACATTTTCCCGTGTTTGAGCTGCCCGTTCCCGTAATTCCCGTTGAGCCTGTTTTTGGTCCATGCGTCCGTTCCGCCTTCGACTTGGTGAGAAGTCTTGATGCTTGCTTTTGACCGTAGGGGCTTGTGATGGAAGTCTCTGGCCATGTGAGGTATGCTCGAGTCCTGATGTAGGATATCGCTTTTTCTGAGAGGTCAGAAACTGTGCTGTCACTCACGGCTGCGATAGCTGAGAATCGAGAACTGATGGAGTTGCAAATGGCCTTCTCTGTCATTGAGCCAGCTCCCTCAGAGCTCGCCGCTTCGATTAGGGACTTCTTCACGGTTAGGGACTTCATTCGCACTGCCACCTTGGTGAGCATGTTCCACAGGGACTATCGTTGGAATCACTCTCGCTCTGGAGTTTACTGGAGCGAGGTCGCCGATATGGAGATTCTCCGAGATTCTTGCTCCAAGAGCTCCTGGGAGATGATGAGGCATGCAGACCCTACCCTCGGCCACCCGTGCAGAATGTACCTAAGAGTAATGAGTAGAGAATTCCTCCCGACTGCTGCCCGAGCTTAGAGCGCCCGAAGACAGCATCCGGTCTCTGGTTGGCTCGATGAAGCTGAACCTAATTCGATCAATTTGATTGCAGTCAGAACACATCCTGCGCACCCCCGAATGGGTTTCCCCGCTGGAGTTCTACATCCTCGCGGAGACCCAGTCTGGAGAGGCAACAGGGCTTTGCCTTCGACGACACCGGGCTTGACCCGTCTTATGGACAGCAACAAGCGTATAATCAGGTCTCATGCGTGAGTTTGTCATTCGCAGAACGACTCCGTGAATCTATCGGGAAATCCTCGAACAGTCTCGCCCTCAGCCCGCCAGTCCGGGATCTAACACAGGATTCTCGTTACAGACTCAGACTGGTTATCAGCAACAGTGGGACAATAACGGCCCAGCCGGCGGTATTCAATTTGACCAAAGCGTACCGTCTCACAATGCCACGGTAAGTCATCCGGGTGAACTAGAGCTCCCATACGTAGAGCTCTACTTCGAGAGCCTCCAGTAAGGATCCCACGTGTCTCCGATTCCCTTTTTCGTTTCACATGAGGGAAAAAGCAGGGAGCTGACGGGATGCAATCTTGTGAACCTTCCCTACCGTCATGATTCGGTCCCGATGGCTAGGAGATTCGTAAAATTATGAATCCTCCTAATTCTTGCAGGGACCCTTCCAAGCAGGGCAAGGCCACGGCATGAACCAGGGACAGACAGCACCGTTCATATTGCAGCAACAGCCGCCGGGTTCGATGGATGGACCCGGGGGTACTCAGTTAAACAACATGGGAGGCTATACTCTGACTGGTGGAAATGGCACTGGTATTGGATACCAGCAAAGTCAGCAGAATTACGCCTCCGTTCAGATGGAAGCCGCTCCGCTTCCAGGGCAAGCCAATGTAGCGGACTCCCACGGGGACCATAGCGTGGGAGACGAGGCCAATGGTGAGTGCCGCCGTAACCCCCGCCATTGAGAGTGTTCCGCGCAGAAAAATATGGTCATCGTACGAGCTCTCGCCGATGGGATTCTCTCCGGAGAGAACCGTTCCGTGATGGAATTATCAATTCATCAAAATCAGCTCGTCGGGTGGAGGCATAGAATCGGGCTTCGCGGGAAACGAGAGACTCCGGTCAAATTCATATCGTGACCGCTGATGCTGTCGATTGCAGGCTGCTTCGGAGCGATAAACCGGAATTGGGACCGGCAAGATACGATTGACTTTTCTCCGATGCACGGCGACTTTTACGTCACGCCCGGGCACCGACCGCACCAAGACAACCTCAATTCGGCTTCCCAAAGTCAGATGCACAAAGGTACGCCGAACCGGCGTCCCGTCAAACTTGTCCACCCAAAACCCATCAAAACTAAACCTGGTAAGACGTCAATGAGTTGAGCGACTGCGAGTTCTCTGTCGAACGTGGATAGATTCCTGAGCTCGATGGAGCCGGCAGCCACTTATGAATTGTTCCCGCATCCTTCAGGACATGATCCCTACCGGGAAGATGACAAAGACTACCATGACCCGTACGATGAGGACGAGGAAGATGAAGAAGAACAATACCAGTAAGCTACTCCCAAAATGGGAGGACCTAAGTACACGGAGGAGAGCTTCGATGCTCCATGTGTGACATTCCTCAGCACTGACCCATTATTGCCGATGCAGGGAGGAAGACTTCATGGAAGACCCATACGAAGAGTACGAAGAAGATCAAGATGGTTATTACGAAGAAGATGGCTACTACGAAGGGGAAGAATACGCAGAAGGAACGTACAATAACGGAGAATACGACGAACGAGGGTGGGTTCTTGCGATCACGAAGCATCGCTGCGCTTTCTGCGAACAAGTGACGGCTTCCGACTATCATCTCGTCCTTTGTCACAGGTACAATGACTACAATCGCGAGAACCAAAAAGCAGATTTCGGAGCACAGAATGGATACCAAGCGAACCGAGCGCCACAGCAACTAGGGAACCTCGAATCGCAACAACAGAAACAACAACAACAACAACAGCAACAATCACACCAAAAGCAAGACTATGCAGATGCGTAAGTCGATCCGCTGCTGCAGGCATATATCTCTGCCCCTCCTCTCAATGATCTTTCTATTGACGTTCCCTCGATTTTTGTGCCTCCAGAAACGACCACCGGGAACCCTACGACTCGAACGGCGCCTTCATACCTCGGGTATCGAAAAGCATCGATGACGATAATTCCAGGTCCTGGTTCAATTCGGATAACCAGATCAACCGGAGCACGTCAACGCTTTACTCGACCACGGGCGGCAGATCGTTCGACTACAACGATTCGTTCGATCAGGGTACCGGGACACATCAAGCCTACCAACAAACGGACCAACAAGCGCCTGGTTTAGCAAACCATAACGCACAATCTGGGACACAGATGCAACAGAATGAATTCACGATGCCAGGAATGCAGAACCAACAACAGACGTTTCAACAGCAACAACAAAAAGCGCAAACAAAATCCGCTGGTGGACTTGAGCGGAAGCCATCGCTGCAACGTCAGCACGCCACTCAGGTGAGGCCGGATCTACGAAGGGAGTCGACTCGACGGAAGAGCGCCGTACACTCTCATGGAGACATAGTGTTGAGTCGACTTGTGACGCCCAAACGAGATCTAAAACGACGATTTCCCTCCGTCGAGTAGGACCATTATCAAGATCCACCCATGAAACCAATTTTCGAGAGGACGCCGTTATCATCTTCGGCCTTACATAGCGGTCAACAGAGCGCCTACGGTCAAAGTCCGCAGGCTACAGCATTTCAAGTGCGTGTCCTCCGACGAGCAAGATAGACCTTTGAAGAAGGGAGTGCCCCGTCGTATGGCTCCGAATTTCCCTTGAACCGCACGACAGTCTCCTCGTACGCCAGAGGTTGCTTGTGGAAGCACAATAACGTCGACGGTGCGGGAAATTGGAGACGATTCGGAATAACCATGTAGGCAATTTTTTTCCAGAAGGATTCACCTCCGTCATACCAGGCTTTGCAACGCAGTAGAGAAGGCAGTTTAATTACAACTCTGGCAGCTAATGCGTCAGCAAACGGCATGGGAGCGACTAGCACTATGGTCTCCGGCCCTCCAGGAACGACGTCTTCCGTCTTGACCTCGGCTATGATCAGCACTAGTATGCCGTCGTCCAGAACTTCGAATACTGTGAGCTTTCATGAAGAGGGTAACCAGGTTTACCCCGCAGAGCCAGAAATGCAATCGCCATTACAACACAAGCTTAGGTGAGTCGAGAGAAATACGTTGGGAGAGTTTCCCATCAGATAATTTTTTTTCGAGGAATTCGGGTTGTTGGGGGTGTCCCGCGTTCCTTCGCATTTGTTCCCCCCGATGAAGCTATTGGGGACCTCGGCAGTCTCCGAAAATGGATCCGTTGGCCGATATTCATGGGGAGCGGCTCGGAAATCGAGCGGATGATTTTCAGAAACCGGTAGGGGATCTCGGGTAGACCGTTCGAGAGGAAGTTCGGCTTGCGCGATTCTCGTCGTGTCACCGATCGACGCAGCTTGCAACTCTGGGCCATATTTGTGAATTCCCGTGAATTATTCAATTTATGAATTCTCGAGAATTTCGAAATTTGCAAGGATGAGAGGTTGGAGCTGCGAACCTAAGGCGCAGTGAATCTAATAAAAGCTCCGCCTGAATTGATTCATTTGCGTCGAGGTGATACACGCTCTGTAGAAGTATTGAATGGTCTGGTTGGCTTTCGATTGGGGAACACTACTCTAACTCGATGGTGATTTTAAGTCTAACTCGATTGGGAGGCAAACTCCAGTTGTCGACTTTGTTTGAGAAACGACGACGCCCCTGCGGCGATTTAGGTCATTCTCGTCGACAGCCATCGATTCGGTTTCTTCTAATGATCGAGCAGTTCCGTTTGCCGTCATCGTCCGCCGACGTTCGATTGACATGAGTCAACATCTCAAAAAAAAAAGGGGTCCGTGTTCGGGTTGAGTGAAACAGGCGATGGAGGGCGCCACCATGCTTCTGAGATCTCGCTTCCGGACAATGAGGAGTTCTATTTATAGAACGCCGTCTCCCCTTGCCCAGCCAACGTTCTTCGCCGTTGCCCCATGAGTGGCCGCCATGCCTTCTGCCGCAGGAGTTTGCCGCTCAAGTAATGGAGAGCGAGGCTCCTCCGATAAGACGGTTCTTGACACAGAAGCGAAAAACTATCAGGCGGAGGCGATCAGGGGAGGATCTTCATTGGGCTAACTTGAGCTCTTTTGGAATCTCCGGGCCATGTCGACTGAGTTCAGGGCACGGGAGTTGGATTCTCACAAGGAGGGAAAAAAACAGAAGCGTAGCGAACGTTCGATGTGACTCAAGCAGTGGGAGCGTCGATCTCATCATCGTCGCCGTCTTCTAGGAATGGGTTCTCCGTCGTCCAACGGAGTGAGCGAAGTCCTCCAGACAAAGTTGACGACGTTCGAAACTTTCAAATGAAAGAGTTCCTGCCCGTGCGCGAGCAAAAACACGCTGGGAGCGCCGCGTCGGCTCGCGAGATACCATCCGGTTCTATCTCGCTGCTGAACTATTCCGCTGGCTGGCTCGCTCGATCATTACTCTCATTGATTCCCTCCCCCGCGTTTCCCTGCTATCTATTGGCGCCGTTGCGCGAGGATGACCAGCTTGGCCCAAAATTCGTTGGCACAACGATGCCGCTATCAGCGAGCTGATCAGTCGGTGCGTAATCACCGATCCCCGATCGCTTTTAGGCATGGCGCCATTCATGGGGATTCCCCTAGGAGAAACTCGTTCTGAGTTTCCTCCGATCCAGGAATGATCCCTTGGCTCCGACTGACGATCTCGTGATATTCGTCGCCAGACCACTGCAGAGTCAAGTGAGGCTTCCTGAACAAAAAGGAAGCCCCTGGAAGAAGATTCGCGGAAGACAATCTTGAGAATCAAAGTACCGAGTTCTGATCGAGCTCATCGTGGAGATCAGAAGTCCCGACTTCGCGCGGGAAACCGATGTCTTCGCGGCTCGCAAGATACCCAGCGTTCGTCTGGAGTCGCGAGTTCTCAGGGGCTCGTGTCTGACAGGGAATTGAAATCCCAGCATGTATGGCTTTCGATTCTCGAGTCCGTTGCATCAACTGCACATCGCCCGTGCATCCGAAAGAGCGGTGATTCCCCGGGGATGGTCGGACTAAGACACACGCCGGCGCGCTGCTCCGCCACCGTTGCTGAAAACTGGGAGATCATGCCCTGGAAACTGCATCCGAAAGCAAGGAAATGACATTGAAGCGGCTCTTAATGATTCCGTCGTCGCTAGGGGTGAACGCGAGGAACCAATCCGAAGAGCTGTCGAGCCTCTTCAGGGCCGAAATAGCTCTATTTGAATTTTTGAAGGGCAGAGAAAAACATAGCACCAGCATCGCAACGATCACAACGGCAACCGAACTCGATGCGACTAGATCCACCGACGCTTCTCGACTCGGCATCAGGTGGCTTCCGATTCCATCGATCGAGAGCTTCCACCGTTCTCTACGCGCGGGAAAAAATTGAGAGAAACTTCCGACCACAGAAGACCATGAGTTCTGACGGACAAGATGTCATCGTGTCGCTTGGCCAGGCGGGTGGTTGCGCTCACGCCTAGCGGTTGCCTATTGGAGGATCGAATTATTTATCACTCTTCCTTGCCTCTGTCGATGGATGGCTGACTGGCAGCCGGTCTGTCGACCAGCCGAACGGACGGGTTGCCTTCCGTATGTTTCACTACGTGCATAAGTGTACACGCGAATGGCAGATGTCCTCTCGGCTTTGCCTGCCGACAGCCCGGTGCAAGCTGACCTCCTGACTCATTTCATATACACGCCCGGGAATTCGTAGTCGGTTGTACCGTGAATACAATAATCGCAAGTCCTCAATTGTGGTTTTCGAGGATGGCTCTCTGCTAAGGTGGCTCTAGAAAAAACGCTAAGCATTCTCACGGTGGCTTCATCTCTACAATTGTTCTCCCGAGACTCTCCCCAGGGGCAATGGCAGAACAACTCATCCAAACGCCTAATGGGAGCAATGGGAAATTCTATCAGCCCCATAGCCTTCCTCAGACCTCCCTGTTGGTACCATAATCTGGCCGTGATTCACAGATCCTGAGCGGTTTTCGAGCGGTTTCCGCATCGGGACTGCCTCTATATATATCCGTTTATGTCCCGCGAAATATTCTTGAGAACACTTTTCGCCTAACGACGCTCGGACTCTGCATCAATATCCGCATGAATAATCTGAACATTCATAAGGATTCGGATTTGATCCTTGTGCCGATGATCGTAGAGATGTTCGACCGCGCAGCCCCATCGAAACGCCCAATTTGATTCTCACGGATACGATTGTTGAAAATGATTCTTCACATTGTTTCCTCTCATGGAGTGCTCGATAATTCGGATGCACTCATGGAGAGAATAGATTCATTGATCTCACCCTGAGATTTGAGTTCTCTTGACGAAAGAAGGCCTGCGGAAGAACGAGGAACAGGCTCTGATCGTTCCGCAGTGTGTAACCGTTTTCTTTTCTTATCCATCTTCTAGTGAGATACCGAGGGACGCCGAATACTCGGTACGGATGTCTCGTAACGAGCGGCGGCATTCTTCGCAACTCAGCAACGACCTGAGTTGTCGGACAAACACGCAGGACAGCTTTGAACTGGCGAAGCTGGCCTACGAGCAGGCAGAACACGCCGGCATGACGGATCAAGGTGAACTGATGATGGGAACGCGTGACGAACATTTGATGATGGATCCAACGTCAGCATCAGGAGCGGCGGTAGCCGTCTCACCGGCAGCATCGGCCCTGATGCCAATGGCTACAGAACTAACGACCACCTCTTCCATCGCATTTACCACCACCACCACCACAACCAACACCACAATGTTCACGAATATGACCTCCCCACCGTTTCCCACCGTCCGCAAGAGCTCTGTGGTTACCGTATCCTCTCCTCCCAAACCCAACGGTGGCGCGCCGGATCATCCGCGCCAGTCGCCGTCTACGCCCCAACAAGGAGTGACATTTGCTCCCGCACTAATTCAGCAACCCGCTCCGCCATCCCCTCGACCTAAATCCGGAGGTTTTTCCCTGTTTGGCATGGACGAAGGTACGGCACAAGGATCAGATGGCCGAATCGGCGAAGACCACACCCTCGTTGTCATTATTATTGTTATTATTATTACTATTGCCTTATTCCACGTCGAAGTGATTCCATGCGTACCTACTTTAGTAGCAGTATCATTATAGTAATCACCTTGATATTTTCGAGCCAATCATGGTTGTCCCGAGAAGTTCGCGTATCCTCTATTCTTCTCGCATGAAGGAATTCCGGATCCTTACTCTTGTTGAGGAAAAACTGTGGAATTCCTCCTCGAGTACTTGGAATCGGGATGCGAGGAACTTCGCGGGGAACGGCAGCTTCGAGAGCGAACCGAGAAGCCAGTCTTCTCCGAGGACTTCGGACGCATTTTTGAGATTCTACAATCTCCATGATTTCCCGCTCTTTGTCTTGTCTCGATGGGGGGGGGGGAATCCCGTTCCTAGATGAGAGGTTCTCATTTGACGGGGTGAATTCGAACTCATTGTTTTCTCCAACGATAGGAGCGATGAGGGTTCCTGAGCTGAGAAACGGTGGGCTCCCGAAATATCTCATCCCACTCCGTCGATGTATCGGGTGCTTGACAAACCGGCATCGGCAGGTCCCCTCCGGATATCCTTTCCAATCACATCGCTTTCGTCGCGTTCCACAGCTCATCCTGAGCTTACCGTGTCATTTCCCTGCACCATTTCTCCTTCGGAACGTTGGCGTGAAGAATTCCCCTCCGTTCTCCGGGGCGAGAATCAAAGAGAAATTTCATGATTGAAGGAAAAACGACAGAGCTGGCAGTGTGAGGACAGCTAACGAATCGTGTCATTAAGGTCAGTTAGCTTCCATTTGTCCAGCTTTGGGCTCATGTCTGTGTGGCCCGAACAAGAACAAAGGAGGAATGCTCCGAACGAGAGTTCAGCCGCTCACGCGAGCTGTGAGCTCACTCTCCGAGCTCGGTGGACCTAACCATTTTTCCTTTCCGAGACGAACCTGTTGTTCGACCCTATTCCGTGCTCGCGTTTCCTCTGCGTGTTTCGGCCGTCGTCCCCGGTATTCGCCGGTCGCGTTCCCTTGACTCACGAACATTTTCGCGCTGCGAATCCCGCTACGTTCAGGCGTTCCGCTGAGCTATTCCTCCCACTG